TTATATTTATTTATTTATTTTAATATCTCTTATATAATTTGCTATAGATAGATAAACAACTAAGAGACAAACACTATGAGATAAACAATAGGAGACAAAAATAACATTTGATTGGCTGATACATGTGTAAATAAAATCACATGTCGATTATCACATTACACATACATTCTGATTATTGTTACATATACATGTCAATCATCACATTACTGCATTACATACTGCGCTTTAATTGAATGTTTAAAAATTAATACATTAGCACTATATAGAGAAACCAAAACGGTTTTACTATACAGTGCACACTTACTAGCAACACTATTTTTTTTCAAGCTTCATATTATCATATTAAACAATATAAGGATTATTGAAACTTATAGAGTACATTAATTTAGCTAATAACATATACGGATAGTTCAGTTTAGTAATGTGATTTGTTATTTATCATATTTAATCACAGTGATATTCTTAAAAATTAAGCATTCAGATAAATTTTCCTATATAAGCTATAATATATAAAGGTACTTAGATTCGGAGCAACACGACGGGTCTTATGCTAGTATACAGTAATATAGTTTATAAATATAAAAATTATTTGTTAACTTATATTAGCAATCAATTTAATTTTATAATATATACTGTATTATTTTAATTTATTATTTATTCTGAATTAATAATTTTATTTTATAATTATTAATAAGTATTTAATAAATATTTCGAATATTTATTTAAAATTTTTGAATGAATATTCGAATACTAAAAAGATTGAACAAATGATATTCGAATACTTATTTTTGACCGAGTCAGATCTCTACTGCCTTGCATATCATCTCTTTTATGCATGCCGGGCATATTTTCTTGATGATCATTAAAATAATCGCCATATTTATTACTGTATTTAAAAGATAAGCAAAGAAAGCATACCAGCCATTTCAATATCATACGTATAATATAGTAAGGATCATTTATATATTAATGTACCTACAAGTTATACTTACCGCCCAAATCCAAACTATGCCAAATTAATATCTCAGGTTTTATGGTATAGGTTCTTATAGCTATGTATAATATATTTGCAAAGTATCAAGATTATCTTTTTTTGATTTAATTTGTAAAGGGCAATTGTGTTTTTTTGGACTTGAAATTTGCCCGGGATTTGCCGGCAAGTATATGTACAAGCTCGAATAACGCTCGTGGGCGTTAATTTAAAAACCATGTTCTTCCAAAATAGCATATGTGGTCCTCGAATTAGCGCCCATGGGCGTTCCCGAATTAACGCGCATCTCATATAACTAATGATTATACCTATCTTGCGAGCCACGTAGATTATCAGGAGGCCTCTGTGTTCACACATTAGTCAGAATATTTAAAGCCATTCAAGTTTATAAATGCTTTAAAATAGTAGTTAATATCAAATCATCACCTAATTTTAATTACGTCTTTTGCCATCCTTTATCACTCCTTATTTCATGGGCGTATCCGAAATAACGCGCAGATAGGCGTTGTACGGTAGATCGGAGATGTGCAAAGGATCAACATGGATCACTTCATAAAGATGTCCAATCAGCGAAATAATTGAAAAATAATAAAAATTTCTAATTTAATTTTCAACAAGTGTTTCCTCATTCTTATTAATATATTTACTATTTACGAAATAACGCGCAGATGGGCGTTGCACAGTAAATCGGAGATGTCAAAGGATTAACATGGATCACTCCGTAAAGTGAAGTCCAATCAGCGAAATAAATAGGATCACCATAATCAAGAAATGGGATATCTATATAATTTGATATCATTGGTAATCCACCATCTAGTGATATGAGATAGTTTGAACTAATAATCACTTTATAAAAAGTAAATTTAAACCAATGACACGAACTGCACTTATATATTATTGTATTTGTTAAGAGAAAAAATATAATTGTCGCGATCATTTCGCCTATTCACTCCAAGCTGACGTTGGTCTTATGTTAAGGTGTCTATTTTCGCCTATTATTAAGCTAACTAAACGATCGGATAAAATATAGTATAGGTGACACCTACTTTAAATCAATTGATTATTTATTAAGGTGTCACCTATGCCATATTTAATCCAAACGATCTTTTATATCGCAAAGTCATACAAGTGACCCTCGTTAATATCAACCTATTTGAATCGGTTTTAAATCATGTTGGTAGTGATATTAATGAGAAATCATATTAAAGTTGATATAGTTGATATACAGTCGATACTGTCTAATTGCATACTGTCTAATTGCATATACTCTCTAAGTGCATAAAAAAATTTTGGCTTTTAATTATTAACATCTTATGACTTAAATGCATATACTGTCTATATGCATATAAAAGTCTCTGACGGATGGCATGCAATCAGACAGTATCTACTGTATATGAAAGAATTTTGATATATAAAAATTTATCTTGTCTTGTGGCTTAGGTTGATATTAACGACGTTGGGGGTCACCTATACTTTGAAACCATGTGATCACCAACTCTAAAAATAAGTGGATTTTGAAGTTGTATCATCAATATCAGATGTGTAAACTTCTCTTGATATATCTACTTGAGTTTCATCAACGTCGAGGGTATTTTGAAATGTTATCTTTGAAAGTTCGGTATCGGATTTTTTAAAGTTTCGAACCTTAAAAAATTTGTGTTGGCAATCATACGAAGAGAAAACATTTTTGAGATCAAATCCGCGAAAAAATTTTGGGACATTATACCGATGCAGCAATTCATATATGTACATTTGTGCCTAAATTGCATAAAAATTATTACGGCATTTGGTCTGCAGAAATTAGTCTTTCATAGTTGCCGAAATTAATTTTCATCTTTACCGAAATTCTTGCCGAAATTTTTCATCAAAATACATTATATAGCATAGTTACTTCGGAGGTTTATTATAAAAAATGTATCAATTGCCGAAATGTTTGCCGAAAATACTTCTTTTCAAAAATAATTTAGGCACACATCTATAGCAATTCATGTGACATTATCGTTATCGTTATGAACTAGCAACGACCCTAGCATAAACAGTATAACGGTTAATATCGAACGCGTAACCAACCAAATAAAGAATTCGAAAAAAAAATTCTGAAGAAATTTCTAAAAAAGTAAAATTCAAAGTTATTAATTTTCTGCCCTATTAATATAATTGTTTACAGAATTACCTTAAACAACTTTATTTCCCGGTATTTTTTTTTGAAGAGAAGGCAATCATTTATTCCATGTTCTTGGAAGACTTTGTTTCAATTTCTTTATATAATTTACGTATCATTTTTTGAATCAGTGTGAATATTTTTAATGTTAACCATTTTTTTGTTGCGAAAGGTCAAAAGACTTTTTCAAGATCAATAACTTTTATGTGAATAAAGTAATAATTAATCATTTATACTAGGGATTGGAATCGCCTAAAATTTTCTTTAACCGCATTAACCGTTTAATTTCAATTCTGGTCCATAATAAACATAATTCCGTCCGGCATTACGCCTTTTTTCCCTACAATTTTTAATTCAATTTCAAATGATTTAGCATCTGCTTCATACAGTAGTTGAATTCATCAATTGGTGTTAATGTATAATAAAAGGATAATTCGAATTTCATTGAAACTAAATGATTAGAATTCAAAATCTTTAGTAAATATAAAAACTTTATAATAAATAAATACACTTTTTGAAAAAAAAATGCATCTATTTTTCCAAAAGGTGCTTTCATCAAAAATCTGTTTATTAAAAAATAAGAGCAAAAGCATATACACTACTAATTATTTATTGAATATTTTCTAGTATGCGTAATAAGACTTTTTATTTTTTTAAAAAAAATTTACTACGCCCAAAATCTCTGGAATTTCTTGCGCTTCACTATTTTCCCCATTTTGCTTTCTATTTTCCTTTGCTTGCTTTTATTTACCTGATTTAAACGTTTAATACAGGTCTTTTTATTAGCTTAAAATAAATTTACAACAAGGAAAGCATTTTTGATAGTTAAATACACAAAAAAAAATTTTGATTTTATTTTTATTTTTTTTTTAGATTAAATTACAGATATACCAAAATAATTACAGAAATCGTTATCTCATCCATATTATTTGAAACTCCGTATTATTATCCATATAATTTAAAACTCCGCATGTAACTGATCTTAGTGGTTATGCGTCGTATAAGTTTCGGTACGTCGTTTAATAAAAAAATCGCATTCTTTAATTTAACTCCGTGAACACCAGATCTTTTTGCTGCTAATCTTTTTTTTCTTTGTTCTTTAGTTTCATTTGGTTTTTCTTTATATTTCTCTGTTATTTCCTCAGTAAAAATATTCAAAAAGCTTTAGGCATTTATTTTTTATAGAACCCCCAAGCTAATGCCTTTCTTCCTTCTGACGCCCCCAAGCTAATGCCTTTCTTCCTTCTGACGCCCCCCAAGCTAATGCCTTTCTTCCTTCTGACGCCCCCCAAGCTAATGCCTTTCTTCCTTCTGACGCCAAGCTAATGCCTTTCCACTTTCTGACCCCCCCCAAGCCAATGCCTTTCCTCTTTCTGGCGCCCCCAAGCTAATGCCTTTCCTCTTTCTGACGCCCCCCAAGCTAATGCCTTTCTACCTTCTGACGGAGTATAATTATATAATTATACTCCAGGACCCAAGTCAGTGTGGTGTTCTTGGAAGCATCTTTTTACGTTCTTCTACTAATTTGTAGTCCAAGTATTCATGGAATCAGAAAGATGTAAGAAAGTCAATAACGTTTCTCCTTGAAAAATTTGCTTTATTCAGACGAAATATTTCAGATTTTGAAAAGTAATTTCGTCCGTTGGAACTGAATAATGCTGAAATTGGGGGCTCCATTTGTAACGTTAAGTTCTAATAACGTCCAATTATCGTTTCTTACGCCGACACAACATTAACGTTATACAGCATAGCCAGCATTAGGGCTTACGTTATCCAATCAGAAATCTATTTAGATGTAAAAAATCACTTGATCATCAAGCCGGACACGGATTCTTTGCAAAATTCATAATGGAACAAAACGAACATCCTGACGTGTTAATTGATTCTTTACCATGTAGGTTGTTGACAATAAATTTTTTACGCGTTTTTACAAATACAATTACAAATTATAAACCTCGTTTTGGCTTAACTTTTTTCTCAAGATATTGATCAAGAAATTGATTATGAAGGTAGTCTAAACGTTTAGATCATTCAGATCAAGAATTTATCTCTATGAAAATATATATTGAACCGGTTTATTGTTTTAAAAAGGAATGCGAGCAAAAGTTGACAAGCTTGTTGAACAAGAAATGAGAAAACGACCTTCTCAATCAAAACGAGATTATGCTTCACATTTTCCTTCTAATTTCGAATTATTTAAGGTAAATTTCGTGATTTTTTTTTATTATATTAAATCGTATTTATTAATGTGTTAGTAAATTTTCATTTAATTAGGAATCATCTATACTTGCAACAGAATATCAACGAGTTCAACAAGGAAAACCAATTGCAGAAATGGATACTAGTAGATATAAATTGATCGTACCTGAAGATAAAGACGATGAAGAAGCGTGGAAGAAAGCAGTTGATAATTCGAATGCTCAATTATATCATCAAAATCTTCGGTATTTACTTCAGCCCACTGCCCGCTTGTTAATTATGAAGGTTACACTTAACAATATTGTACTAGATTTTTTAATCTAGAATTACTTCAAAATTTTGGAGCAAACGCATGGAAACTTCACAATTATCAATTAGAACATGAGTTACAACAGTTTCAAAGGACTTTAGAAGGCTATCGCCAGAATATATTAGAGTTGAATAAACAAAGAAAAGCCGAACAGGTAATTAAATTGCAAGAATAATCAGTAGGGTTTACATATTTTAATAATTTCATGATTATTTATAGATTCAAGCAGGAAGTCAAATCGAGGCATTGGAAAATAAATGGACAGAATTAATTGGTCAAACGCTTCAATTAGAAGTAGCTTGTGCCTCATTAGAAAATGAAATACAACAATTAAAACAGTATGAACAGCAACTAATCGCAAAATCAGGATCAACAGATAATGATGATTCAGTAGCGAAAAATGACGAACAGACTGAAGAATAGAGATGATGATCAATTAGGGAATGATTGATCATTTAATTTGTTTGATAGTGACCGATCATAAAAAATTCTTTTTCTTTTTTTGAGTGTGGTCGGTTGATAAGTGATCATTAAATAGTCATCCTGACACTATGCATCACTTATATTATATTCGCTATAATACACGTTTTTCACAATCCAAATCCCTTTATAATCGTCAATCATGTTAGTATTTATTTCGCGATTCAGAGATTTAATGCAAATAGCTTTTATGCTCAAACAATCATCGCGAATAAAATAAACATTCATTAAATAGATTTAAGAATTTCAAAACACAAAATCCAAATAATTTACAATAATAATATGTTTTCATTATTTTTTATGCTAACTCCGTAGTATTAATGTCATGCTTGAAATTAAAACCTGCTTAAAGTTATACCTGACGTTGCACTTGTCTGAAATTAGCACTTGAAATCAGATCTTGCAAATAAAATTTACTATATTTTTCTTAATTAGATATATGTTAATTTTACTGCATAATTATTACATCTTTTTCTTATATATAGTTAAAATTTATTGCGTAATATTTTTCTTATTTTTCTTTAGCATTAGCAAAATTTCTATATATGGAGCTGCTTGTTACGAATAATACAGCTTAGATAATCGATTGATAATTAAAGATATACAGTAAAATAGAATATTTATATCGTTCTCCCTTTTTTTTAATCTATCGATCACATGATCGATCGAAACATTTTAAAGACGACTGACTAATTTTCTTTTATTGGCATATATAAATTCAAAGATAGCTAGATTTTATCTGTCGAAAAAGTCTTTAAAATTATCTAGTTTTACATTATATATGAGTGTCGCTAAAAGAAACCCCGAAAATTTACATATAAGTCATATTTAAATTTTCGGGTTTTCTTTTAGCGACACTCATATATAGTAAAGGCTATTAAAATTCGAGGTTGAATATATGGACTAGGTACTTGGAAAAGGGATGAAATTGATAAAAAAAAATTAATTTTCTCAACGACTATCTAATCAAATTTAATATATATATATATTTTATTTTAATTCAAAAAATTTATAAATCTAAATAATTAATCAGATTATTGAGAAATAAATTTTTGTACTCACGTTTTTGTCAAATTCGACCAGCACTTAACCCATATTTATAAAAACCAACAACCTATTTGGAGGTTATCAGGAAGACCATTATTCACACATAATCTTGATAACGTATTACAGTATAAAGATTTTATTACAGTATAAGGTACCTTTGAGAATTATGCTTTTGCACGCTATCAGATAAATGATTATTATAAAATAACATTTATTTTAAAATACAATCAATCTATATAATATTACTTTAAGGTGTATGTATATTGTGCAATTTTGGAATTGGTAAAAAAAAATTTTCCTTAATTAATACCATTCAAAAACATAATTCATCCTAGCAATCATTAGTAGTCTTAGTATTAAGAATCAACCCAATAATTAATCCATAAAGACCCAATACTTCGGCAAAAATTAACATCAGAACCATTGTAACAAAAAGTCTAGTTTGTTGTACATACGCTCTAACAAACTTTTGTGGTATTAATATGAAAAGAAATTTTAATATAATTGAAATAAATATTGGAAAGAAAGACGCAGGAAAGATTACTCACAGCATCACCAACAATTCCTATTGTGTAACCTGCTCCTAAACCCGAAAGGCCTACTGTAAGACCTGAACCAAGATGAATAAAGCCACTAAGAAAAAAAAATTTTGAATTTGAAATTAACGAACATTTATTTACTTATCCACTTAAACAAGATATATAGCTTACGTAAATAGCGAATATGGTTTATTTGGGTCCACTATGAAAAAAAATGCATATTAAAAAAATTTTAGCACTGAGAAACAAAATTTACTAATGAAAGACGTAACATACTTGATCCACATATTAAAACAGATATGACAAGTCCATAAACAGCAATAATACCAGCCATAACCACAGGTAGAAGTGACTAAATATGAAAAATCAATAAGTATTAATTGTAAATAATTGTAAATAGTTAAAAAATAAATAAAAATTACCTTCATAATAAGTTCAGGTCTAAAAGTTCCGGCACCAGCGATTCCAATTCCAGCTTTTGCAGTCCCATAAGCAGCACCAATAGCTATTATTGAGATCGTTTTGAATTAAAATGAATTTTATAAATCCACAAAATCCGTTATAAAAATAAATTGAGACAAATAACAAAAATTATTTTAGCTTAAAATAAATTTACAGCTAAAGATCATCTTTAAAATTTGAAATGAAAACGTTAGCTAACGTTTAATTCTTTAAGAAAAAAGAACCATGAGAAAACAATGATCTACCGCTGCTGCAACTCCAGCATGCCCGAAAAACGGCGCATAAACCGGGCATTGATCGCTTATTTTTATATCCATTGAAATAGCAGTTTTTAAAAAGTTTCATAAAACGAACATTTTTGGTATTTATGCTAATCTTATTAAACCAATGAAAATTCAAGATCTTATCTCGTAATACATAACACAGAATCGACCAGGGCGGCCCCCCCCAAAGTGCGGATCGATGGCGCAGCCACAGCCGCAGCTCATGATCTACCAATCATATCGTACCGTACAACGA